TCGTCAATCCTCATCAAATTTTGCTTCTCAGTGTGTATCTTATGGAACCGGTCCATATCTTTTACCGTGAACGTTTTAGCAAATATAGTTCAAGTTACGTGTTTTTTATAATCGAAAGTGAAATCAATACCTCTGCTAACGGTCTTGGTGTTCATTGTATTGCAATTTCTTTTCTTTCCATATGATTCTGTTTTACCTGCTTTGCTTGTAAAAGTAAGATGATAGAGTAAATAGTAATGTACGTCAATCATGTTTTAATCCGACATTCTAACATATTAACGGAGGAGATGGGTCTTTTTTTCACAAACAGATCAGAAATGTCTAACAAGAAAACTTTTCGGCAAAAATTTTTGAAACGTGAAGCGTCGCCTTGCAATAATGCCGTATAATCAATGACTTCAAAGTCTGCCGACATGAGCTCATATCCAAGGAATTAACTATGTACTATTACTTACACCATGACCAGACAGCAATATAATTTTCACAACCGTCAAGGCCCTTAGCCTAGCTTTAAGGGAAGAAGCATTTGTCGCTTTCAAGAAGAATTTGTGTGCTTCGCTTTGATTTTGCTCTAATAACATTTCACATAAAATTTCTTACGAATTTCCGAAAGAAGACTTCACAGTAAAAGGAAAATTACCTCTATATGCTATTCTCAGAGTGGCGATTTTTGGGAAAGGGGAAGTCATATCGGTACTGCTTCTCAAAATGGCGACGATCAAAAGTGAAGGAGAAAATGGGAAGCACGCTTTTCACTTTACTTTTACTTCTTTAAAATTATGAATAGAATTATGATTACTAGCTTTTGAATCGTAACGTGAATTACAATAGTAAAAGTAGCAGTACGTCACAACGTGCGAATTGTAACGTATGTACGGCTAGTCCTAGAAAGTCTTAGTCCTTAGAACGTCATTGTACGCATTCCTAATGTAGATATTATGTGATGCACATCTTCAGTGTAGAGACCAAAAAGTTTTATCCTTGTGAACCACATTTTCTAAAACAATGGACTGATGATGTTTTAAGCTCCAAACTAGGAGCAGTTGTCACCATAAACTCAGGAAGAAATCACAACAAAACATTGAGAACAGTTGTACTGTCAAAACAAACAGGAGCTTCTCTTTCGCAGATCTATTCTACTACTAAATGCTATGATCGAAACACATGTACTTCTACAGATAAATTTATGACTGCTGAGAAGCTCGAAATTACGTAATTTCTTCACCTCCTTAATAATCGCATGAAACGGACCATGTTTACTCGAAGAGCGGGCCAACAGAGAGCCAGATTGCGATAGTACCATTCCCTGGGATGAAAATCAAGACATTAGAATTCAAAGAAGGTTCTTGCTCAACGTAAAACAAATGTATGACAAATGTTAAAACTGACTTGTTGTACGCTACCAAGTTCCGATGTTCCGAATCCAAAAACTTTTTGTAGA